ATGTTACTTAGCCTTGTGTTAATTTTCTTTTTACCTTGGATCATGTTGCAGTGCCCCAAGATTCTGACAGCTTCCATGCTCCAGACATGCACCACGGAATGGAGGTTCGCCTTGGTTTGTCAAAGGGACCGATTTGCCCTAGTTTCAATTGATTTCACAAAATGTATTTCTCGTCTTGCACTGTTCTCCTCATTCAATATCTATGTCGCTCTTTAGACTGAGATTTCGATGCTTGTTTTGGTTCATAACCACACTTGTGACGAGATTCCTTATCCATCATGTAGACCTCACATGTCATTGAGATAAAAGAGTGTGACAAGAGTGTCTCATGCTAGCTAAAGTGTGGCTCCAATTTTGTTAGCCACACATTAGGCAAGTTGGTCAAAACATTGTGTCAACCTTGCATAAATAGAAATACTCAACCAAACAGTCCATTACGCTTATACACTGTCAAATCAAAATGGGACAGTTTCAGACTTTGGCCGTGGCTTCCATCCATCGTCAATGCTTCAAGTGTGGGGACTTCTTCAACAGCCCCATCCATTGTCGTACCATGTGGTTGATCTAATATAAAGGCATTCCGAGTTGAGCTATTTAAACAACCCAACTAAAATAGTACTCCCTCCATCTACTTTTGATAGACATATTTCCAAATCTGAAAAATTTACTTTTGATAGGCATATTTCAATTCAATCACCTATCCTATTAATGACTTTCTATGATTTAATGCGTGACTCTCCATTCTTCCACACAAGATTGGCTACATGGGCATCGAGAAATGTAAATATTAATGAATCGTTTGTTTACGAGGAATAACTAGTAGCATGTTTAAATGGATGATAAATAGAATTATTTTTCCTTGGTCATTGTGACAAGATAAAATATGACTATCAAAAGTAGATGTAAGTAGATGGAGGGAATAGTATTGGTAAATCTCTCTCTGCGAGTAAAGTTCGGCGGCATGAGTTCTTGCTTTCTTTGGACCCTCGTTGGTACATGCAAATACAGAGCAGCGAGTAATGCAATTCTCGTTCCCTCATTGCATGAACTACGTTCCAAAATCATCTCGATCGGTGCAGGTGTAGGCCTAACCTTTCTGAAAAATCATTTGCGTCTCTGAAATACTCCACTCCAGGCAGCACCCGGCAAATGCTAGTTAGGTCCATCATAGTTTTCACTTGAAAAGAAGCCTGCCGAAGGTTCCAATAATTTGAACAAGCAAACAGAACACTGGAATTGCATGTATGTCTCAAAATCGCAGAGTATTGACTCCTTTTTCGGACACGTTTTATTTGTCAGTTGCGACTGAAAAGGACACATAGAAGAATGGATGTGCTAAAAATGATCGTCCGTCATATGAAAGATACATTTAATGTGAAGAGCACTTGGGGCACATTGAGTTGTTTAGAGATTTTGCATAACACAAGGAAATATTTAGTGGAAATCATCAAATAAATGAAAACCCATGAAAGCCATACTTACATATTCTCTAAATTCAAGAAAAATTTGCTAAAGATAGGTATATGCAAGAAATACATTCATACTAGATCTAGAGGCGATAGTGGAGGCCGCGGGGTGCGGTTGCCAAATCTAGCCCCCTCTCGTTCGGATCCGGCTTGTCCGGCGCTGGAGGCTGACCCTCAAGCCACCACCAGCGGAGAGGTGACGGCGCGGACGTGGAGGTGGCAGAGTGAGGTAGAAAGGGCGCGACGACGCGCCATCGATGGAGGGCATGCCCGCGCGGTGCGATCGGTGGAGAAGGGAGGAAGTGGGGCACCAGCTAGGAGTGGCCAGTGGCGGCGGTAGGCTGGCGTGGTGCTGCTAGGAAGCCCACCTGACGGTGGTAGGACTATGGAAGTCCAACGCGGCGTGGCGATGCAAGAGGTCGATGCAGGCAGGTCGATGCGGGTGGCACCAGCGGTAGCAGAAGGCTGGCGTGGACGGCGTCGGGAGGTTGGCGCGACAACGACAAAGAAGCCAGCCTGACTGATGGCGTGAAGGTCGACGCACGCGCCAACGGCAAAGAAGCTGGCCTGACTGATGGCATGGAGGTCAACACAGTGATGACAGGGAGTCCAATGATGGTGGTGTGTGCCACAAGGCATGCTGAGACTGACTGACGGGGGGTGTCGGTGCAGCAGTGGCCACGTGCCTACGAAGGATGGCCGGTGGTGAAGGAATGGAGCATAGCTATGGATCGATAGGGGTGAGAGGTAGGTGTAAAATCTAGCTTGGTCTTAACGGCTTGGGAAAAACACAAGGGTTAACGTGCTCAAGTGAATTAATTATACTTCTATCTCTCGATAATTCAACTGAACTGTTGTCTTCCTTGTAAAATCAAACTTAGTTATGCTACTTTCTCCATTTTAAAATATAAAAATCTAGTACCGAATGATATATTTTCTATTACTATGAATATGTATCTATAGAAAATGTTTTATTTAAATTTAGGTTATTATATTTTAAGACGTAGGTGACATCTAAATACCGTTAGTATGGATTTATTGCTTGAAGTTGCCAACGTGTGGTACGTGTGTGCCATATGCTTACGTCCTCGTCTATTTAGGCGAACGGAACAGCCAAAAGAAGCAAATGGAAGCCCAAAATGGAAGGCAGAAGGAAGATTATACAAATCCATTGTGACTTGGGTTTAATTTGTGGGAGCGCCGGAGTAGCCTGTCGATTTCAGTAATGCCGGCCAGGGCCAGTGTGCACTGTGCAGCGATGAAACTCCATCCATGGGCGCGGTCAAATCCGGGGGGAGAGAGAGAGAGGGAATGGGAATGCGTTTACTTGGCCGGGACACGACGTGCAGCCTCGTCCACGTACACGCGAGCAGAGCAGTAAAATCGCCCGCCGCGACAACGAGTGGATCGGAGGGGAGCCAACTGTGAAGTACTAGTACTACTCAAGTGCGGTACACATGTACTACCTGCCAGGCCGCGACTCTCTCCTTTTTTTAAAAAAAAAATTACACAACTACAACAGAGACACTCACAATACACGCGCACTCACCTTTATAAACACATACACGTAAAACCTACCCCTATGAGTATCTTTGAAGACTAGACCATCAAATCCTTAAGATTGACGAAGTCACTACAGACATCTCGCTATCGACAGGTACGTCGCCTACCACTGAAAGCACAACGCCGATAAATCCTAGAAAATTTGCTACCATGGAAAGTTAAACCCAGGACCTATAAGATACTACTGAGTCTCTCGTAACCGTACAGGTTTTTTCGCGCCGCGACTCTCTCCTTCGCGAAAGCCGACGCTTGTATGCATGACACGCGTTTGTGACAGCTTACCCAAGTCTAAGTACGTCTTTCTGCCCTTTTAACTAGTTCAATATTCTCTCAGTTCTTAAAAAAAAAAAGACAAATCCTAGGTTTCCGTGTCCAACGTTTAACTGTTCGTCTTATATGAAATTATTTTATAATTAGTATTTTTATTGTTGTTAGATGATAAAACATGATTAATACTTTATGTGTGACTTGTTTTTTTAATTTTTTTCATATAAGACGGACGGTCAAACGTTGGATATGAAAACCTAAGTTTGTCTTTTTTGGACGGAGGGATTATTGAACAGTTCTCATTTCCATACTTGTTATCGTGCAAAAGAACTTTTCGCACTTCTAATCACTAGTTTAGTATTCAGAAGTTTGGAATAAATTGAATTTAAGCTTATTAATAGATATGAAAATTAGAATTCTTAGACGTATGTACTTTGCTTCTAAGTTACACACAAAATATATCTTAATGTTTTTTATTATATTATATATTGTGGATTTGATTTTTTTGGAATTACTCAATACAAGATTGTCATGTGGAGTCTTAATAACTATTATTGTTTTATTGGCTGTTTTTAAAATACTCCCTCTATTTCAAAATACAAGCATGTCTAATTTGTTTAATAGAAATTAAGGTTTAATACAAAATACTTTGATGCCCCTCATGAATGGTTGGGGTGAGAGGGTATTTAAAGGTAAGCTGGAAAGAAATTTAAATGATAGATGATTGATGGAATAAATAGTAATCCGAACAGTATTAGAATTGTTTATATTTGATAAATTTAAAATGTGATAAGTGTTTATATTTTTGAACAGATGATGTTAGAACCAATATATACATAAAAAAAGTTTCTAGGATATGATTTTAACAAATGATTCATTTTAAGAAGTTTGTTTTTTCTTGGATGAAGGGGTAGTTACCATTTACTAGAGTTTGGATTTTCTTTTTCATGTTCAATATTTACATTACTGATAGTGTGAGATGGAATCTTCATTTATTTTTATGTTGTGTTCGAATGTGTCGGTTCGGAACCTATTTCTCCAACATGAAAAATGAGATAGGTTGTTAGCACATGATTAATTGTATTAAAACAACTTAAATATAATTTTTCAAAACAACTTTCCTAAAAGATGTATAAAAACACATCGTTTAGCTGGAAAGTGTACAGCCAAAAACTTGAGAGCAGAAGTTGAGAAAGGAGACATTTGAACGCAGCCTTGGTCTCCTTGGACAAATGGCCAGATTTACTCAATTTTATTCGATTAACGTGGACGTTTTAGGAAATATAAGCATGGATATTATGCATATAATGATTGGAATCAGTCCGCTGGCTGGCAGGCTGATGTGCTTATCTGCGCTATAAGAGGAGGATGGAGCACAGGTGGAACAGTGACTGGATTCATCTACAGAAAGAAAATTCAAGATTTAACAATCACCAATTTTATTCTAAATAACATTCATTTTATGAGACGGAGAAGAAATAATCCCGCAGATGCACACCTGGGCACCACCGGAATCTCCGTCCCCCGCTCCGCGGCGCTTCAGAAGTCTCGTCCCCACTCCCGTGCCGCACTGGCCCAGCCGCCTGAGACGACGTGAACATGTGGCGCTGAGCCGTCGCCCGAGTTCCACACGCCCACCCCATCCACAATAATATATCCAATCCACCCATCCATCCGATCAAAATACTGGGAGAAAATTGGAGTTGGGACGCGAGATTCTCAGGCGAGCACACGATCTCGCGGCGCGCTCACGTCCACGCCCTCGCATCCACAAGCGCCGCGGTTAAAAAACCACGAGGCACCGTGTGTGTTTGTGTTGCTGTGGTGGTTGCCTTGGCTGCTTTGGAGAGTTGGGAGGAGCAGCGAGAGAGTGGGGGTTGATGGCGGCGATGGCGGCGGCCGTGGCCTCGTCCCCCTCCCCCTCCCCCGCCTCCACCCGCCTCCTCCGCGGCCACCACCCGCCCCCGTCGTGCTCGGCGCCGTCGCTGCTCCGCCTGACCAGGTCGTCGCGGAGGCTACGGCTGCGCGCCGCGGCGGCGGCGGAGGAGGCCGACGTGCTCCCCGGGCCTGGGGCCGAGGGGGAGATGGCGACGGGCGGGAGGCTGGAGGAGCAACCCGAGGGGCCGATCGGGGGCAGCCAGGTCGACATCGGCGGGCTCGCCTTCCAGGGCGACATGGGCGGAGGAGGGTTCGCCGGCGGGAGCGGGGGCGCCGGGGCCGGCGGCGGGGACGGCAACAAGATGCTCGACCGCGGCATCAACACGGCCATCGTGCTCGGCGCCAGCACCTACGCCCTCACCAAGCTCCTCACCGTCGACCACGACTACTGGCATGTACGGGAACCTTCGTCGATTCCCCCCAAATCGTTTTGTTCCATTTTGTCTTCTCTTCTCTGTGCTGTTCTTGATTTGATTCGATTCGAAGCTAACATCGTTCCGGGCGGGCTGTTGTTCATGATTGGATTGGGTGCAGGGATGGACGATCTTTGAGATCTTGCGGTACATGCCCGAGCACAACTGGTCGGCTTACGAGGAGGCCCTCAAGACCAACCCGGTGCTTGCCAAGATGATGATTAGTGGCGTCGTCTACTCCCTCGGCGACTGGATTGCGCAGGTGTGCAAACGCTTTAATTTTCCTCTTATTTAGAGTAATAGCTTTTATGCAGCTGCGCTTGCATATTTGCTGATTCTGTTGCTGTTGATGCTTGCAGTGCTACGAAGGCAAGCCGATCTTCGAGTTCGACCGTGCTCGGATGTTCCGGTCTGGCCTCGTCGGGTTCACGCTTCACGGGTCCCTTTCACATTACTACTACCATTTCTGCGAGGTAAACATCGTGGTCTTCCATGCTCTACTGCCTAAAGCTTTGTGTCATGTTCATATATGGTGAATGATATGAAGCCAACTGTTTTTCTTGGCTCAGGCACTGTTTCCATTCAAGGATTGGTGGGTTGTTCCCGCAAAGGTTGTGTTCGATCAGACGGCCTGGTCTGCGATATGGAACAGTATCTACTTCGTGGTCTTGGGGTTCCTTCGTTTGGAATCACCGGCCACTATTTCCAGTGAGCTCAAATCCACGTTTTGGCCCATGCTTACTGTAAGCACTGATATTTCCTTTGTTATAATAATGCCTTAATTGAGTTCCCATATTCTATATTCTTCTTTTTTTTTTAAGAATTGAAAGTTTATGAAAAAGCTGTAGTTGTGCAGTTGATTTGTTGTCTTCAGTGTTCTTGACAGCAAAACCATTGCCTGTGGTCATGGTTTTTGGTACTATGATCCTTAATTTGTTGAAGGGATTCGATGAATTCATTGCTCTGTATACAAGTAAATTTTTTAGGTTAATATTAACATTTTGTCCTCCAATTATTCTTGCCACATCTATTTTCTCAAAGTTTTAGGTCTAGAAGCCACTATTATTGAATTAAACTAGTATACAATTACAACAAAGCTATGAGAAGTCATTCAAATTTTGAACTTTTTAATGTTCAAATAATTATTCAATTTTCCCTTCTAATAATTCCATCCATAATCTTTCTATAATCACTGAATTATTTCTTAATTTCAAAACGGTTTTTACAGTGTTTTACTGCTAACAGAGACCTTATGCTGGGTTTCAATTATTATTATAGGCCGGCTGGAAGTTGTGGCCTTTTGCACACTTGGTTACATATGGCCTAGTTCCTGTTGAACAAAGACTTCTGTGGGTTGACTGCGTGGAGTTAATCTGGGTTACAATACTGTCAACGTAAGCCCAAACATGTCAATTTCACTTTATTACTACGGCAGCCTGATTAAATCGCGAAAGATAAAAAGAGTTCTTCATTTCTTATAACAAGAGTTCTTCATTTCTTGTTTGGCAGTTACTCCAACGAGAAATCTGAAGCAAGGAACTCCGAGGACGCATCCACATCAAATGCTTCCAATGTATGGAACAGTTTAATTAAAAATTCATTCTGTCAGACATGTTATCGTTCGTTCTAACACCCAAAATTCATTGCCTCTTCTACAGGACAATTCAATATAGCGAACGGTATAGCCAGCCAAGCTGCCCTTTACCTTCATCATTTTGGGCTTGTATATATTGTACAATTTGTAGCTGCAGCTCTGCAGGTGTAACCTTTTTGCAAAGATAAATTAAACATATAAGATGTGTAGCAACTGCCAAAGGCAATCAGAACGAAATTACCTTGCACTGGATCAACTGTTGACGAGATTATGAGCTATGCAATTTTGGTAGCTATTCTTTTGATCTTTGAAACCCCTTTTCAGTGAAATCAACCGTCTTGCATTGAACCTTATATGATCGACAACGCAAGCAAGGAGCAAAACCTATACAATATTTTGGGGTGGTTACAATTTACACAGTATTCTATAGACGCTAGCAAACAAACAGCTTGCTCATCATCAGACAGAACATCTTAAAACAAGTTTTCCCTTGATGCGAACAAAATGCTGTCTGTACATTTTTTCGTTTTTGCTGGCATGCTTTCTGTACAATCTGATGCTATGAGTAATATACAACTAATGCTACTATTTCGAGGAAAAAAAAAACTACTGCATGGCATGGGCAGGTGTGCTATGCCCGTATTTGTAATTTACAAAATTGCGATACTTGTAAGTTTGAAGCATGAAAACCTACCAGAATTCATGAGGCCGTTCACACGCATCGTTTGCGAGCACACAAAAAGGAGCATTTCCAAATTACATGTATGAATCCAACCAAAACTTTTCTATTGTGCGCAACTATCTATATCAATTGTTAGCTACTGTTGCACGCTTAAATAGTTAAGTATCACTATACTGCAGCAGCCTCTGTATCTTTGTGACCAGCAATCAGATCTTTAAGCACAGCCTTTGATGCCAACTTTTTCGCCACCAACTTGCAGGGACCTGATTTTGTTGCGGAGTATGTAGTCTCTCCAGCCTTCACCCGAGCAATGACCGATGAGACTCCATCAACATGGTTTTTTTCGTAGGTTATTTTGAATGATCTACGATCACAAAATTCTTGCAGCCCTTTCACCGGGTCAGGCTCGATGGTTTCGGGGGTGGCAAGAGGTTCCAATAGCCGCTTCATGCTTCTCCAAACAACCTCCTTGTCACACTTGCTGTCGAGATAAATGGCACCAGCTATTGATTCAATCACATCCCCGAGAACCTGTTTGTTTGCAAGTAAAGCAATAGATCCAGCTTAAGCTATTCGATGGAAAATATTACAGAAGTGCACAAAAATAGGTTAGTCCAAACATATAATTCTCCTATTCCAGTTTACAGTCAGACTAAAGACATTTTGTGGTCGTCATGCTGTGATGCACTATGCATCGGAACCTAGTTAAGACTATCTTTAGTTCTTTTTATAAATTCTCTAGCAACTCTTTAATCCAAACTAGAAATAATGGATCTGATGCCTGGTTAAATTTTGATGTCATCACTATATGGCATAGACTATAATGTATCCGAGGTAATGGTAGACCTAGGAATACTGAGTAATGACTAATAAGATTTAAAATAAAAGACAAACAAATTAACTGATCAAATTTTACCATACCAGCTAGGTGCATTTTCTTTTGCAGAAAAGGAGAAACAAACTCTGCTATCAGACTTTCAGAATATATGCAATATAGCCACCTACACCAATTACACCGTAGAGAATACACACCTTTGGTAGACCAATGCCCGCTTCCCAGCCATAAGATGGACCTGTAAATGACTGCCCAAATTCCTCAAGGTAGTAGCTCATCTTCCTATGCAGTTCTGATGATGAGTGAAGGATATGCTTGTTTAATCCTGATTTAACAGCTGCATGCGCGTAACAATTGTTGTTCACAGAGGCAGATCTAAGATCTGTCAACAATTCTGGAGTACAGTCAGGGTATTTGCTGTAGTAATATTCAGTGAAAAGATGATCCAAAATAGCATCTCCAAGAAACTCGAGCCTCTGCAAGGGACACAAACTTGTCATTCAACTCAAAAAAGATCCCAAACTAACAACAGCTACTTGAGAAGTTTGATTCAGATAAAAAAGAAGCTAGACAAAAAGGCAAAGGCCTCATCAAAAATCCTAAGCCTTCAGAGCTTCAAGCCGATGCATGAGGCCATCAACGGTCACCGCAGTATGACGAAGGTTCTCCAAAGCAGCAGCGCACCCATGGAGGATGTGACGTGTAAACGCCACCACCACTCGGCGTAAGCTGAAGCAAGGTTTTCACCTGGAGATCAGTATGGGCTAGGTGGAACTACACCATAACGGCGCCTCCAAGGAGGGGAACAGTGCCCAAAGGTGACGCTGTCATTCAACCAGCCAATGGCTCGACAAGGTTTTCACCAGTTGATTCTCCATCCAGCCCACACAACCAATCCGCAGCACAACGGCAGTCGCCGGATCACCACACCATCCCTCTAGCAACCATGCCCATGCCATAGCCCGACAGCTCAGGCATGCTCATAGGACTACCCTGTTTCCGGCCACTCCATCGACATCTCCTGATGATAGCCACAACTTCCACCCTCCAATCAAAGCTCCCCATGACCAAAACTACAGTCTCCAGCCATAGAAGGGGAGGAGCTCCAAGAAGAGGAAGATGCTTGGCCGGCAAAAACGGAAGACACGCCGTCACCACTACCCAGCTGCTTCTTGATCATCGCAGATGCCCAGCTTTGGTCGTTGTCGTACCTCGCACCTCCACCCTGTTGCCACCATCCATGCACCACAAGGAGCTCCAAAACGTCCAAGCGGTTGGGAGGAGTCCTCTCGCTGCTCGGATGCTAGCACGCCCCGTGGCTCGGATCCCTACCCCTAGCGAGGACGCACCAGATCCAGTCGCTCACCACGGCAGGGCTGCGGTCGCCGTTGATGCCAACTTGAATAGCCAGGAACACAGCCTCAACCACCGCCCACGCGGCCCACTTTTGCGACTAGGACGACCGCCAAACGCCCATGCAGCCGCTCCGCCGACTGCACTCGAGCAATCACCACAGCGTTCCGGCGGATCCAACCCAGAAGCCCCGCATCCTGCCTAACCGGTGCCAGCCACTGTTGCAGCCTCTCCTAGCGCTGCCGGCTTTGGCTACCATCCAAAGCCGTCCCACCGCTGCCGTAGCAACCAACGTCACGCTTAGATCTAGCTGCCATCCATCGTCCGTGCGAGAGCCCAAGGAAAGGAGGCCCGCCGCCACACGGTTTCCGGCAGCCAGCTCCAGCGGCGGCAAGGGGTGGGAAGGAAGGAGGTGGGGTAGGGCCGGCGGCTGGAAGCGCCGCCCGAGTCGCTGAAGGAGCGAGGCTAGTCCTTCAGTTTTCAGGTTTCAGATAATTCTACAGCAAGTTAAACTCAAAAGGAAATGAAACATATAGAGGATTGCTAACATAGAAAAAAAATGTTGTTGCAATACTGTTTAATCATTTGCACTTTGTTGAGTAAAGATCAAAAGGCATAATAAAGCCGTGACACATACTAAATAGAGATGATAGATGCTTTTATATCAACCTGATAGCATGAAGTAGGGCCAGAAGTCTGATATGAGCCATGTGTCAATGCTTCGAGCAATAATAAAGAATCATTGAACTTGTAACCAAGCATTCCCTCTAAGCTCCTCACATTAATGAACTCTTCAGCTTTCATTGAAATTTTCCTTTCAACTGGAATTTCAGTGTGAAATTCTATATTCATCCCTAATGATTTCATCAAAAGAAATGCTGCCTTTTCCCCAGCAGTACTGAGGTAAGCCCCAATTAAGGCCTCAACTGAATCCGCAATCCTCTTACTTTTAATAGACATTTTCCTTTGGCTGTACATACCATTGGGTGCCAGAAAGGAAATTTTTTTGTTATCACGCTCATCATAGTCCAAGCAAGGGATGATCCAATCTCTTGGATTAAACTCCTCAGCATGAATGTAACCCTGCCAACCAAACATAAAGGGCAAGAGTATCATCTAGTACCAGTGATAAAAGACAGATAAGTCTTCTTTGAAACATGAAAAGGTGAATAGAAATATTTTCTGGTACTTGAAAAATAACACAATTCATTTTGTGATGAACAAATTTGTATGCAAAGCATTATTTTATTTCATGACATAGCCCTAGCCACATAGCACCAGAAACAAAAATTAGACCTTTAAAATTGATTGGCTGAAAGGATTACAAGTCGGTTGAGCGGATTAAAGAAAGCTATTTACTATCTCACTGCACACGCCGAAGATAGAATCCGTTTCAAGGATAGGCAGATGCTACCATTCTTCCCGCCATTCTTGCTTGCCAGGCAAAGTACCGCTGCTTCAACGGTCATGAAAGCAGACCACGTCAAGCCAACCTCAGATCTGACTACAGGTGCCATGTGACCTGAGGGCTAGGTGTTGGCCCAACAAGGAGTAATATGGTCTGAGCCACAGCCTTGTATTAACTTAGGGTCAGCACCACAAGGTTTTGGTCACCTACAATAGTCTATATTGGCAACTTGGCAAACAATTCAATGCAACAATAGAGTTCCCATTTTCCTAAAAAGGAAATATGTGGAACATTGCCTAATTGTGATATAGCAGTTGCACAAAAGAATTGAAATAGGCTGACATGGTATGAAAGATACTGGGAGATGTAGGACTATTAATATTGCATAAAATTAGCAAGGATGTGCATGTAATCAGTTCTGTAGTGTGTAGGTGTGTGTTTCTAAGGTCCTTTTACCCTTCTTTAACGCAATGATATGCAGCTGTCCTGCGTGTTCGATAAAAAAAATTTCTACATGCCTAGCTCAATAAGAAAAATACAGTTAGCAACAGGATCTAGAGTACCACAAGATTACTGCTGCAGGCCAGCTGGCACAGAGCTGCATTGGAGATCAAGTTTTTCTTCATTTTTGTTAATATGCCTTCATGTTGAAGCCTGTATTCACTAAAAAGGTGCCGAGTTGTAACATATTTGAGGAAAGAATCCCCAAGTGTTTCTAATGATTCCTGTGAAAATTCTTCTTGGCATTTCTTTGTTGTTAATGCTTCCAGGATCTGCAACTCATGAAAAAAATGCAGAGAAATACACATGTAAGAAATATGCATAGGGGAAGTAATTTATTCAGGTAACAGGTAAGAAAATTCAGATTGACATGTACATTGTTAACAGTGGGGCATCCAAAATATTAATTAGAACCATAAAATACTCCACGGATTCAAATATTCTTATATCTTATTTTTACAATATAGGACCATCAATCCATACATGGTTCTATAGAGTACAACACACCATCAAGCACCTCCATTGGAGTGTTAATGAATAATGCAGACAGCTTTTTGTATGTGCTTATATAGTTACATTACGCATTAATTGAAGGTATTTATATGCATAAGAAGTTATTAAGTACCACTGCCTCATCAATTGCTACAAAAATAACCAACTTCTACATGGCAACAAAAGGAATTATTTCTTTGCTAAGTGTCCCCGAAATATCTTGCATTATACATGACTTAAGACCTGTCATGTTTGCAAGTAGAAGGAACCAAAACTTATGTTTGCCTCATTAATAGATAGTCACTTCGAAGTGCTGGACATATTCTTACTAAGGCACTGTTGCTGCATTAAACAACTAAAAAAATCAGAACCTTTAGTTTTCACTGTCAAATGTCATCACTCTTCCTACAACACCTACTGGTGTGCCCAAGAATGCACTTATATCCATTTTTATTTTAAATTCTTCAAAAAATAAGGGAAATATGAGTTTTCTTATATGACGACATCTAGTTGATCTAGGTACTTCAATAATTCATAAATAGGAAACTATTGATGAGAAAATCAACCTTCAAAACCGGTACGTCAAACTGCTGCACTGTTGGGCCTAATTGGACCTTTAATTTCACAGAAAGAAGCATGCACTGGATGCGGAACATTATGGAAGGAACATATGAGAAGATGTGCAAATTATTGGCGGACACTGGTGACATGATAATTCTGCAGAGTTCAGGTGGCAACTCAACACTATATCTATCACCAGGTTCTGAAACAAGGAAAAAAGATGACCAAATCAGTGATTTATGCATATGTAGCTCTGTAAAGATAGTACAGGCAGTACATTAGTTGGACCATTGTCTAAGAGTTCAGCTATAACCCACTGTAACATGCCTCATTGATAGCGATGCAAAATACACATGTATGATCAAGCCCAGCAATATGTGTGGGATTTAACTGTCCGATTGAACATGAACTCAGGGTATGTCAAATGTAATCTTCCAAGTCCCAAATACCTCACTGCCTAATTTTATAGAAGCTAAGCTACAAGCAACCCATCATTCTGTGCTAATATACTACAATTTTGATAGTAATATGAAAAGTACATTTACTGCTCCTGAAAACGAATATAGTGTCTGGCCAAATAAAGAAGGATTAAGGAAAAGATGATAGAGAAGCAAAATATATTTAAAAAAGGCATAGTACTCCAAAAGGTTATTAAACTAGAAAAAGGAAAATTTAATAGTAGCAAAAAATATGTCTACAATTAAAACAATCTGCAGTGCCAATATTTATATCAAAAGAGCTTATTGGTATGATGTACACTCTCATAGTAAGTACTCACAGTAGAATGAAATCTAAATTTCATAAAAGTAGCGCTAAAACATATACCATATTCAGCTGAGGATATTAAATTTGGAAAACTTTACATTCAAATATTGGAAAATTTTAAATTCAATGTCAAGCAAGAGTTTACATTTTGGGCTACATATTTAAGAATTCAATTAGATGTACAGAAAGTTCAGAAGGGTCTGTAACTCGTAGAAACTAAAACACCTAAAAATTTTGTCATCAACAAATATTAAAATTCATTATCTAATCATGTTTATAAATGTTCTGCATAATTTCCAACTTAGTAACTTCGAGGGTTTTATTACAGATAATTGAGTCAACACATGTAGTCAAAACGGAGGATAGCTGGAGAAAACATTATGTAATATTACTGCAACCAGAGAAAAAAAAAACCTTTTTCTTTTTTAGAGTAGCAGTTGTGGAGGAAGTTCCGCACTTTCACATGTTTACTGCCAGCCAAGAGCGGCTGATTTTCAAAAGTCAAAGTAAGACCATGCCTGAGAAACACAGGAAACAAGTAGATGTGTGCGTTCATAGCTTACAGGAGCATGTATGATACATAAACATGAAGTAATACCGAAAGGGAAAACATATACCTAGTCTTAAAATAATCTTTGTAGGTAACAACAGTCCCATCATGTTGAGGCAAACAGGAATTTGCATCTAAGTCAAGAAACCCACTAATAACATAAAAGATGTTATTATGAGGGGTACACACAATGGAATTTTTAAGGATGCACCTGCAGAAAGGACCATCTTTTGTCTGCAGTAAATCAATATCTTTACAAGAATGGCAATGTGTCATATGTTTGTTGTTAGCTTCATATATTGGTGAGGATGAGAACTTCATACTGCACCAATCAATTCTGCCAGAAACTAAAGGCAGAAGTAGATAGACTACTCCAATAGGCACTTGCATCTCATGGAAGTATTTAATACCATTGCTAACCTCCAAATGGTCATCACCAATAAGAAACGAAAGAATAGTTGTCTGAAATCTTCTAGCAATAATTACCTGGACAAACAAAAGTTATATATTCTCAATGAAATGGTCTAAACAACAATAGCCTAGTTATCAAAGAATTAGAGAACATAAATTGACAATTTACCTGTTCTTGATTGAGATGGATGATGCCAACATATTTCATGGTAACACTAGCATTGTCTTGCCCACCTGGCAATTTAAATGAGCTAGAAGTAAAGTCAGATCCCAAATCACACTTCAAAGCTAACAGTATGTCAGTTGGAGAAGCTGTTTTGGGACATCCTTCCAATGAGATCTTATAGCAATAATATATGCCAAGACGAGAAAAGGAGCGCCAATTATCCACAAATTCTTCTGGAAAGTAAGAAGGCTGCTCAATTTTGTTCTCAACAACTATATGAGAAACATTAAGGCAACATTAGTGCAAAGCCCCAATATATATCACACTTAAAAGCCAACTTCAAAAATTACGACAGATCTTTTACTTTCAAGATTAGTGAAGATATCAAATTTAGCAAACAAAATAGGTAAATTTGAACAAACTACGTTCGTTTTGGGACAGGCATCATGACATGTATGTATCCACTAGACCAGTAAATTATCAAGTCCATGAAAACTATCAAGTATAAATCAGTAATGCACGAAACACATTTCCTATTGTACCTTCAGATATAACCTTACCCACCATGCATCAAGTTTTCCTTAAAACACATGGTAAATAATTACTTGCAAAGTGTAAATTGAGTTTAAAATTTTGATAGCACGTGTAAAATACTTTTACTTATGTGTTACTGCATTATCATAACTCGCACAATAAACTGCTCCCTGAATAATCAATTGGAATAAAATATATAAATTGCAACAACTGGAACAAATTGAATTAAACTGCTTAGCTGAATAACCATACCGATGTCAGGTTCTTCATCACATGGAACATCTAATTCTGGTAAAAGAGAATCTGTGAGTGCACCAATGGCATGTAGTTCTTGGCAGGCCTTAAGACAAACTGTCTCCTTGAGAATAGAACCTTCTCCTTCTACATTAACTGTCTGCACAGGACTGCTCTTAGGAAGATGCAGAGTGCATGTGCCAGATGCCTTGTCTATATCGAATCTTGGTAGAGGATTAAAATATCTAGCAAGTCAAAATTTGACCCCCATCATAAACTTGAAGCAATTGTGGCAGATAATTCTGCGCAATATAAAGTAAACGAAACTATTAAGTGTGAAACAGAAAACTAACTCATCCGATGGAAGCTTTGAGCAGAAAAAATGAATTAATGGAACGCTGGAGTTTAGTGTCACAATTGCTCTAGTTGACTCGACACGGTAATAGGTATCCTCGCACAAGGTGTTCTCAAGTGGTTGACAAGAAATTGATCCCAATCTCAGAGATTCCTCCCGCATTATTTGCCCACTTGCGAGAAACTTCTCTGCATTAGTTTGAGCTTCCACATCCCCCCTGATGCAGAAACGTGTATAATGCACAGTAATAAAATGCAAAATAGGTCAAGTAACGATGACAACAAAAGGAGGTTATCGTGTCATCTAAAATCAGAAAGATGACGGATAAATCCACAGCAAGTGCCTACAATAGTCATAGGATCTGACCAGGTCCACCATCCAAGAGAATTTTGGCAGTTCCATACTAAAAATTCAAACAATTATTTCAGTTGAAACTTATTACCAGGATGATACACCAGTTACCTCTGGTTCTGGAAAATACCATCAGGAACCATAAGTCAATTTTATAATAAAAAAAAGCTTTATAAACTGCTATTACTCCCTAGTATAATCCAGCTTGGATTTAAGAGTCAACGTTAATATTTAGTGCCACTATGGATGATTTGATTCACTACAAAAACCAACTGATGAAATGGGAAAAGCAATCACTAATATAGGTAACCACTAACAATTTCCTGGCACTAACCAGGGATTCTTTTTTTTATCCAGTGCATGCAACTCTTTTGATGAAATGTGAAAACAGTGAACAGAGTCCATGGAAGACACAAACAATTCACTAAAGATGGAACAGTTAACAAATTTGCACAGAGAACAAACAAAGCAACAAAATTGAAAACGTGCCTTCCGACAAGTAAAAGATAGTCAGAGTTTTCCATCCTAGCTCGACCACGGGACTGTATAAAGCTGCATACTGTTGCTGATGGATCAAAGCGAATTACCAAGTTACAACTTGGCACATCTAAACCCTCCTCCAAAATTTGTGTGGCAATAATTATATGTACCTGCATAACCATCATTCTCTCATCAGAGAACTATCATACTATGACTTAACAGAATGCCTATAGCATACTTAACAGAATGCCTATAGCATAAAATACAAGTACCAATATCGAACCTTTCCTTTTCGAAAAGATTCAACAATTTCTGTATGATTTTTCCTGCTCTGAGATAGCAAACCAGGACGGCTTCCTGCCATGTGCTTAACATTCCACCCAGACATTTGATGAATAGATGAAAGTAGGTGCTCTAATACTATGCTTGTGATAACTCTCTCAACAAACACAATGCATCTTAAGTCTTGCATATGCCTGAGAGAGAGAGAGAGAGAGAGAGAGAGAGAGAGAAAGAGAGGTGTTACTTATTGAATGATCAAAAGAACAAAAAGTTTTAGTACAAGAAAGTAGAAGCATAAGCATCTCTTACAATCACCAAGTTACTTATTGAATGTCGTTTTGCCCGCGCGGTTTGGTCTTTAATCCAGTTTGCTTCGAATATTAGTTTACCTAATAGTACAACTCATATGTTTGGGCATTGGATAAGAAGACAACCACACAATTTGAGATCTTTGGTCTTATTAGGGGCAACTACCACTATTTGGTCTATTTGGCTTTGCAGAAATGATGTGGTTTTTGAAAGGAAAAACATATCTTCCCCTTTGCAGGTTATCTTTTTTATTACACATTGGCTCTGCTCATGGGCTATCCTTCAGAAGGTCAATTTGCGGGGTACTATCATTGCGGCTTGTCAACACTTGGAGCTAGTGGCCATGGAGTTTTCTACCCCGGCGCATGGGTGGCGTTCTAGGCTACGGTTAGAGGGCTCCTGAAGTTCTTTTTGTCCCTGCTATTTTGGATGATGAGTTTATCTTTTGTTTCTTTCTTGTTGGCTGTGTGCACTCTTTGGGTGCAGAAGCCAGAGGTGCTCTCAGAATAATTGTATCACTTGATAGAATTTACTGAGATTAATAAAGCTTCCATTATCTAAAAAAAAAACTTTAGAACACATTTTTCACACTGGCTGGTATGTGATTATCTATTCCATGGAACTTACTTACACTTCAATATCCATCTAAGAACTAACCTATAAAAGCCAGTAATAGGGAATGGAAGTAGAAGGTGAAATTCAAGAAAAAACTGTATGCAGCAGGAAAATAATAGTGGTACTGGAATGTATCATTTCTGTACTACTTATATGAGTTGGTGGTGATGGGTTGTGCTCTACACCCCCAATCCTTCAATCAACCTTTGGTGAAACAATCAGCATAGACGTGTGTCATTTTACTCATTTGTACTTCTATTGAACCAATATATAGATGATTTAATTATGTTCATATGTATGTGGTTGTCAGTTGATCCAAGTTAAATATTTTAAATGTGGGGATTTTTTTTTGGCATTTGAGTAAGCCAACTTATGCGTGTTTATCTGAGATTTGTTACAAGAGATGGGCAAATATGCTAGTTCTCCCAGAAAAAATAAACTTTTTTTTCTTGGGAACTCTTCTTTATTTTTTTATTCAGATTTTCAAATGTAATCCATGGGGCATGTACAAAAGGCACATGCATATTGTAGAAGCTAATGGCTCTTTCTCTGTACTGGTCATCCATGATTTTTCCTATTTTCTGATTATGTAAAACCATGCATATCACTTGATATTAACTCACAGCAGACAAAATTCAAAAGTTGATTAAAAAAGAATGAAAGAATACACCACTATCGTCCACCCTATACAGAACCTTTGGTACCATTTAGTCGATGCAGTCTCAAAGGGAGAGAATGAGAAATATTACCAATACTACTATAAGAATAGCCAAATGAATGCAATCTCAAAGGATGTGGCTGTGAAATATTATCAAAAGAAAATATCAGAAGAGTATTTTAGCACCTGTACTGCAGAAGAGTTCGAATAAGGCAATGAACTTTGGGTGTCAATATCCCATCTTGAGAATCAGCTGGAAATTTTTCACCAATATGACCTGAAAAAAAAAAGCAAAGAATGAAATAAACATGGTATGACCTATAAATTGGAATTTCGGCAAGTGGATGCCATCTATGGTTTAATATTCAGTTAGTATCGCATGTATCATAAGTGAAATTATGTTAAAAATATCATAGTATTCATAAGTGAAATTATAAACATTTTTCTAGTATCCAGATAGCAATTCATGCAGACAACAGACTAGACAACATTTTATTTGGTAATTGAGAATTCCAGAAAGCAAATGCTGTCATGCAGGTAACCAAGAAAAGAACATAAAAAGCGCAACATGCTAGAGAAGGTATGTTTGTAAAAGCCAGAGCTGTGTAGTATGTACCATTCTTCAAGAAACATGAAAGTTCTCTATGTACTTCTTCGCTGTAGTTTCTAATGAAGCCCTCAACATTTTTATCCAATGTTTCACCCCAGAAGGATAGGCTGTTTTCCTCGTATGATTGTACCTCAGCAGCCTGAAAATACAATGTTAAAGATAAATTGGGATTCCAGAAAGTACTATAAATGTGCAGTGAAATCTTTATTCATACCTTTGCTGCCAGCCATACTCCTAGATTATATAAACAATATACAAATGTATGATGCAATTTTGATATCCTTTGCTTAGCGTTTTCCAGAGATGAACCATGTAGTTTTCTGTCCAGAGCTTCTATATGCTAAGAGAATGAAACAAAATTGCATTGGTATCTGGTAACATATATACACAGGATTTGTTAAAAGAAGTTACTTAAAGCATTACAAAAAGAATGTCAATGCATCTCAATAAAAAAAAACCTCCTGCTTAAAATATTGAATGTCATATTCAGCCCAAGCACAAGAAGCCATGAATAACAGGTCCATGGCATGCAATACTAAAGGTCTGGCACATGCTCTAACTAAAAAAAGAAGTCTAACAACAGGCTTAACAGTCTCTGAGACTGATAAATCATCACTAAAAACTGTCTTTTTGACCTAAACCGCATTTTAGAATTCACATACTTCTGTAGAACACTGGCTGTGCTACTGTAATAAACCCTAACTTTTTTATTCTTCATTTATATTCTGAAAGATGCCATTGATAGGTCCCACGTTTTGGCATGCAGGGGATATCATTTGGCTATCTGGGCCTGTTTGGCAGAGCTTCAGAGCATCCTGGCTATAAAATTGTTAGAGGTCAAGCTAGCGGTAGACTGGGGTGTTGGTGCGCCATCCTGTTTACATTTCAGCATAGACCAATTTATTTTAGCCTAAGAACTCCATATTTACAAAAATACAAGAGTTGGAGCTCAATCCAGCTCAGCATATTATGCTTCAAAATTCTTGAAGCTGGAACCTAAAAGTAGGTAGACAGGAGTGTTTAGGTGAGTCATCTTCTTTACATTTTGGACTAAAAGTAGGTACTTAAACCACTTTGTTTTAGCCTACAAAACTATATTCTGCAACAACATAGGAGTTGGGAGCTCTCCAGAATAGACCCTTACTAGGCTTCCTCTCATTTCACATTTATTCTAAGTTTCTAACACTTCTCCCCAACTCAATCTCTGTTCCCTTCTGTAGGCATGCCGAAAGTGCCAACCTCTCCCTTGTATCTTACCCCAAATTGGCCGCCATGCCTAGTCTTACCACTCAACTTCATGCAGTACAGTAAGCAACTTGTCGGCAAGCAACATGTAACTGAACAATAGAAAGCACTGTTTACCAAAAGGGCAAACAAAATGTAGAAGAATGATAGTACCTTTTTATTCAATCTATTCAAACAACTGAGAATATTGGCATGCAGCTCAGATGAAATGTTGGAATCGTCAAAGTCCACTATTTTTGTAGAAGCAAATGGTATGTACTCCGACAAAGCTGATTCACTATCAACAGTGTACACCTTGAACAACAAATGCATCAATGCTTATTTCCCAAAGACACATACAGGTAACTAAATTAGGAAGAATGATTATCGTAACTGCAGGGATCACGTAATTAACTGAAAATTACATGGCCTGACCTTGGAATTCATGAGATTCTCAATCTCAGAAATTTGCTTTGAATAATTGTGCGGATTCAAATCTATAGAAGGAACAGTGTGACAGATTAGATGATCAGAGAGCCTGTGCATAAAACATAAGGGATGATCGTTTCGCCCTTACCTTTTGAATAAATGAGCGAAGCAGACATCCCAAATATCCTTGGCAGAGGGTCTGACGCACTAGAATTCAACTGGGGGTGATAAAATTCCTGCAAGCGTCGAATGATTTGTCTAAATTGGTGATACAGATCAGCAGGGGAAGGGAGACATCAAAGATTCTGACTGAAATAGTAAATGTGGCAAAACCAACGCTGCATGTTCCAATTATATTGGCACTAGTATGTAAGTTAGAGCATAGGTGTTCCTATGTTGATGAGACGAAAATGGAAAATGAGAGCTACTCCACTACTAACCCCACCCGATCAATAAATGTGAAGGGAAAATACGAAAGGGCGCAATACGGCGGCGGGTGTAAACTTTTGTACCTTGAAAATGCAGGCGTACGGCGTATTGCCCCTGGCGTGGTGACACTCGTCGAAGATGAGCAGCGCGATGTCCTGGAGGCGGAAGAAGCTGTGGCGGAGGTTGTCGAGCAGGATCTGCGGCGTCATGACGAGCACCTCGCCGTCCTCCAGTTGGGATCGCCAGGTGGCGGCGTCCCAGAAGTCGACCCCCATCTCGCCGCAGAACTGCTTGACGACGAGGTCGGTGTGCTGCTCGACGACGCGCGCCTGCTGGCCCACGAGGACGACGGTGGGGACGAGGAAGACGGCGAAGCGGCGCGAGTCCGGCCTCCGCACGCGGTGCGCGTACGCCCGGAGCAGCATCACCGCGATGAGCGTCTTCCCGCTCCCGGTCTCCAGGAACGCCAGGGTGTTCCCCCGCACCGCCCGCTCCAGCGCCTCCAGCTGGTACCTGCACGCCACGCGCAATCACAAACCCCCACCACCACCATTAGCATCCAAAGGGGAGGGGAGGACGGCGAATCGCGATCCGTCAGGCGCGCACTGGACACCCCCCGGGCCTCACCATCTGGCCATTGTCTTCGGGTCGGGCGGCGGCGGAGGCCGGAGCGGTTCCACCGCCTTGGCGCCCCCATCTCCTCGACCTCCGGCGGCGGTGAGGGGGCCACCCATGGCGACGGCGGCGGCGGCGGAGGAGGAGGAGGGGTTTGGGGGAGGAATCGGGGGAGGCGGCGGGATGGGGGTGGGAGAGTGAGGTGGCGCCGACGCTTGGGCCGCCTCCGCCTCCGCCTCCTTCGGTGCACGCACGAATCCGAACCGAATTCCTACGAGTCGCGCGCGCGTGTGTTGGGCTCGAACAATGACGAGAGATAAATGATCTTATGGGGGGGAAGCGGGAGGAGGAGGGATGGGACCAATTGGTAGTGGGAGGCTTCGGGGCGAAGGATTCGCCCCCGCCGGTTCGTTCGAGTGCGCCTTTTGAGTTGACGAGGACCCGAGGAGAGGCGACCGGGACCGCGGGGGAATGGGCGCGGCCGTTTGGCGTCAGATGGAGGGGAGGGAATCACAGGTGGGGTACTGGGGGTATGTGGAAGGTCGGGGGGCGGTGACGTCCTTTTGGGTTTTGGCTTTTGCAATGGATTAAATATTTTTTAGATGTCATGTCACATGTCACATCGGATATTTGATACGAATTAAAATAATTAAACGTAGACTATTGATAAAACACATTTTATAACTCTGGATTAATTCGCGAGATGAATCTTTTGAATCTAATTAATCATTGATTAGCCTATGTGATGCTATAGTAACAATGTGCTAATTGTGGATTAATTAGGCTTAAAAAATTGTCACGTGAATTAGCTCTCATTTATGTAATTAGTTCTGTACGTAGTCTGTGTTTAATACTCTAAATTAGTGTCCAAACATCTAATGTGACAGGGACTAAAGTTTAAAGTCTAGTCCCTGGATTCAAACACCCCCTCATTGCAGGTAATAAAATCTCGACAATTCCATGTGCATTGCTCTTTCAATAAAAAAGTTCAATGCTGGTTTGTTTTCTAGGATTTGGGTTCCTTAGGCCATCACCAATGCGTACTCTCAAGTGTGTCCCTGCTCACAGCCGTCGCCAGTCCATCAGTTTGCCGTCCCTAGCAGAGGGGCGCGTCTTCCTCCGCTCCTCAGTCGCTTTTCGTCGAGCCACGGAGCTAGGGGACACGTTGGGCGACGTCGTGGCTTGAGGACACGGCTCCCGCACCTGATTTTTCTCCTTCCACCCTTGGCCTCTTCGCTGAGAGGCCCATGTGTTGATAAAAAAACACACACTGGCCTGGGAGGTCTGCTTAACTCCAGTGCAGGTCCTAAATCTTGCTTTCGGGTTTCGCTGGGAGGAGACAGAGTTGGCGACGACGACCGGCGATGACCCTGTGACGGAGACGGCTCGGCGACCCCGCGCGCTGCTGCCCTCCGCCACCGCGCCCGTCCCCGCGCCGCTTGTCGTCCGCCACCGCGGCTGGTGAGAGAGAAGGAGAAAGGTGACGATGAGTGGCGCAAGAGAGAGAGGAGAGAGGCGACGGCGACGACCAGATCCGACCACCGTGCGCTGCGGCAGCCGGCGAGGACGGAGGGCTTCCTCGTGCAGCGGTGGCGACCAGATCTGGCGCAGGCTGTCGGCGCAGTGGCTGGGGATGGCGAGGAGGGAGGCGACGTCGGTGGCTTGGGAGGTGACGGCGGTGGCTGGGGAAGGCGAGGAGGGAGGCGGCAGTGAGCGGCGTGGGAGAAAATGGCGAGCGGGCAAGAGAGAGGGGAGATTGGCGATGCGCGCGAGAGAGAGGAGAAGCGTCGGTGGGGAAAAAAAGTCATCGGTGGGCTATGGAGAGAGGAGGGTAGTATAGGAAAATACCCACCGTGGGCTTTTTGGTTGGGACACCCATTGTGAGCTTGAGTGCCTTCACCCAGTTATCTTATATTTTGAGGAGCCCATCCAGGGGTATCTCTCATTGTGAGCTGAGTTTCTCTACGAGTGTCCTCAATTAGTGAGGACACTCTAGGAATAGCTCACATTGTAGATACCCTTACAGTAATATGTTGTGTCCAACTCATACGACTTCTCATTATCTGTGTTCGTTCCGGTGACATTGAGGGAGAAAACCCATCGTTTTCCACGCGCACGCTTCTAAATATCCAAAAATTATGTCACATCAAATATTTGGACATATGCATGGAGCATTAAATGTGGAAAAAAAATCCAATTTCACAGTTTGCATGTAAAATGCGAGACAAATCTTTTGAGCCTAATTATACCATGATTTGGTAACGTGGTGCTACAGTAAACATTTGCTAATGACGGATTAATTAGGCTATTCATCTCGCAGTTTACTGGCGGAATTTGTAATTTGATTTGTTATTAGACTACGTTTAATACTTCAAATGTGTATCCGTATACGTCAAAGTTTTTAAACCTAAACAATTAAACACGGCCAAAGTGTCAAACTTTACTAGAAGCAGCTGTGCAGTGGCTATGGTAGAAATTATATGTTGCTACTGTAGCTACTAACTGCCATCTAGTCATACCGAACACGAATCACGTGTACACTTTTTAACCGTTAAAAGATAAATATATTTTATAGAAATATACTAAGACTAGTTGGGTGCCCGTGCGTTGCAACGGGAAAATATGTATCATTTGAAACATACAATCTATGCCATATAGAAATATGCACAAATCAATGAGGAATCATTTCCTTGATCTGAACAAAACGAAATTGTAATGAATCTGATTCATTTGCCAAGTTATTATGCTATATATTAAGAAGTAAAACTTGTAGATCTTCGAATTCAGCAAAGAGGAATATGGACATGTGCACCCACGTCAATTCTATGCTTTTTTTATATAAACATGGTTTAATCACATTCCGTAGCACACAAAGAAAAATAGTATGCATGCATATCAAAAGGATCGTGTGAAAAATGAGAAAAGGAGAGGCTACAGAACATGGGTACTAACAATTAACTGATGAAGCATGAATTTGTGATATTTTCAAACCATGCCAAAATGTTACCATGCATTTCTTCAATCACCAAATCCGCATACAGAGCTAGAATGAGCATCTCTGAACAAATATAATTTTCATCAAGGAAATTCGAGTTCAACAATCAGATAATTCTAATTACAAACTAAGAGAGATAACAAAGAATGATTTCTATATCAGTCTATCTTTCTGGTCAATGGTAGCCCGACACATTAGTGTCTCAAACACGATAAAATGCCCAAACATAGATAAAATAATGAAAACAAATCCATTTAGTTGTTCTCATGCCCAAGGTGCATGCAAAGTTTTATATGGGCATGGTATCTTAAATAAAGTTTTTAAGGGGTTATTGACCAAATGGAAGGACTACTGAACAAAAGGACAATATTAGGTACCTCAAATGATGTGTACCGTCAGAACATTTAAAACAAACTTGCATGGATTCAAAACCTTAAGCTGCTTTTCATCTGGCAAAATAACTGGAATATTCATAAATGAACAGCAACAAACTGAATTTCACGATCTTAGAGGACACAAATAATTGAAGGTGTAAAGTATTCAGTTAAAAATATATTGTGCTGAAAGGTTGAAGCCTTCTTTTTTCAGAGCAATACATGCTTAAAACATGACAATTCAAGAGCAAATGACATCCGATGACTTTGGTTCTAATTTAAGCAGTTACTGATTCTGTTTGAATAAGCTGAACAATCTACTACAGACTCTGGTGCATAAATCATGTAAATGTGCACGTGAAACCCACGTCAATAATAAGATAAAACAGAGAATAAGCACATAATATTTTCACGTCTCTAATAAGATGAAACAGAAAATAAGCTCCTATACAACAATTTAATAATTCCACGTCTCTAATAAGATAAAACAGATAATAAGCTCCCATACAATAATTTAATGACCATACAATACTTTGTATAGATAATCTTTCCGATAGAAAGAGCACTGCTACAGACCAAAGGATGAACTGCCCCAAACGGGCATAGCATGAGTACAGCAGACCCATTACATATAACGTTAAATAAAAAATACATAAATGACCGTCTTCCTATTTTACTGCCAAATGATGCCTTAGAAGGCTCATAGATGGAGGAAGGGTTATATAGGCCTCAGTCCTCAGAAGTACCTTTCCATGAACCCGAGTTAAATACAATAGAGGTGACCAACATCAGTTAAAAGAAACACATGTAGTAGAGAGAATAAACTTTATGCAATGTAAATTATGAACTAATGCTCACGGAATCAGTGTCAGCTAAAAAAATGTGTGGTTATGTATTAATGTGATCTAAATTAGAGTTCGTAAGTACTGCAGCCTATTCTCTGCAACGTTAAATGGATACGGAAATTGATGGGGCAAGGCAAACCGGCAAAGTGTTCTCTCGTACTGCATTCCAGATAATCAAATGTGCAGTAAACAATAGTTTACAGCGATATGCAATAATATTAACAACCTTCCTTTTCTATACTCATTAAGCTTAATTGAAGGAAATGATTCTGCCAAGATGCATTGATAGCAGTAAGATGACTGCATTGGTAAGGAAGATAATATACAGGTAAAGAAACTAACCGTGTGAGCATAGATGATGCAATTTACTCCATGACTGAATCAGGGATTAGTGTATTTTCTGCTCGCATATTGACTAAATTTCATTGAGTGGAGGTCTTCTCTCACATTTATAGAATTAAGGTGTGGTTTATCATCATGAATTCAGGTGTGGTTTATCACCATGAATTCCCATCAGCAATTGCGCTGATCATCAGAACTTAACATGAGACACTTACCATGAGGAAGTATATATATAATCACATCCAAAATTTTATGTCTAATGTGAGCACCTAGCCAGTAAAACAACTACCAGGATCATGACCAAACAGTATGTTAATACCATAGGAGAAGTCGTTATAGTGATGAGTGTGCACCACATGTAAATGCGGCATCACAGATAAATAAATTGACAGACACAACATAGATCAACGATATTTCCATTGCATGTTAAAAAATTGATATCGCAGAAATTAATCAAGTAAAAACAGGACAAACAGAAGAAACTGGTCTTACTTTCACAGTAGGGAAGAGTACCCGGGTGATGAAGGAACCTGACGTCCTGAAGAAGAGTGAGCTTGTGTCCAGTGGTAAGATTTCACTTCAGATCTACGCCGTTTGTGAGATAATAATTTAAATACCATGGGTAGGTACAGGATCAATACTCTTTTTTCGCTGGTAGTACTCTCGCATCTTTTGAAGCCTAGCTTCCTTGTCGCCAGCACTAAGAGCAGCATACCGCTCCCTAGCACGCTTCCGCGTAAATTAAATCGGAGTTAAATTAGTGATGCCGCCAAGTGTACCTGCAGAAACTTGTACAGAAATCATTTCACAACATAGCAACAGTACGAAGCAGCGAGACGAAAAGGGAGAAAACAGATAATGTCCACAAATCAGATACACATTGTAGATATACCTTCAACAGGAAACTGTTTCTTTTACTTAAAACGAAATTGTCTAACAGGAAACTGTTTCTTTTACTTAAAACGAAATTGTCTAAGTGATACTTTCACATACATTTTGATTACAGCTCGAACAAAGCAGTACAGTGCTAAAATCACTTTGAAAAGTGAATTGGTTTCTGGACATTTGCTCAACATATTTATGAACTTTAGTTGATTTGTAACTTTTCTAGATGGGGGATGTCTAGCAATCGAATGCCATATAAGAAATTTTGTTTACCTTTTGTAGATGGGAATGTCCCTCAGTGATGGAGGGGAGACGGGCGAGTACTGCATCCACCTGCCGACAGCATCCAGCGACGACCGGAGGACTGGCGGCCAGCTTCCGGTGCGGCGCGAAAGGGACCGTGGTGGAGATCGACGGAGAGGAGCGGATCCAGTCGCGAGATGTGGCGTAGGCGACGGACTTTTGGCGTGGACGTGGGCTGCGCACGGGGAAGCGGAGTCGACGACGAAGGCCGCCGCGGGATGGGGGTGGTGGTCTAGTGGGAGGCCGGGATGTGGGGGGTTGATGCAGCCGGCCTGCGGAGGTGAGGTCGATGATGAATCCGGCTTGTAGACCTGGGAGGTCGTGGGCTTGTGGGGCGTGGATTCCACGGTGATTTGGGGACGTGGGATCGGCGATGGGAGAGGAGCGAGGCGGCGCGGTGGTTGGGCGGGGTGGGGAAGTGGCGTGGTGAGGACTTCCGGCGGCAGGGATCGGTCGAGGGTGCGCCTACGTGATGAGGCAGGAGGAGACGGCGGCGATGGGGGCGTCGGCGGTGGAGGCGTGGTGCGGCGACTGGGGAGGAGGATGGGGCGTTGGTGGCGGTGGCGCTGGCAGTGGGGGCGCCGCGGGAGGAGCCACCTGATGACGACAATCTGGAGCCGATGGCGACGCGGAGGAGTAGGCATCGACGGCGGGGGGAGCCGGGGAGGAGGAGTAGGCGTTGGCAGCGGGGAGGAGGAGGAGTAGGAGTCGGCCCGGCGGGGGGATCTGAAGCGGACTCGACGGCGGGGGATTCGGCATCGGTTGCGGGTGGGTGGTGGATTCGGCGTCGGTGGTGGGTGGACGGAGGAGTAGGTGTTGGTGGCGGTGGCGGTGGCGTTGGCGGCGGGTGATGGGGAGGAGGAGGACGCGGCGGTGGACAGGACGGCGTGACTGGCGTTGGGGGCAGTGTCTAGGGTTTCGGAGTCCGCCGCAAGGAGTCCTCCCTGCGCCAGCGATGGTTTGACGGAGGCGGTGGCGGCGGCGAGGCGAGCAGTGGGGGAGGGAGCTGGTGGAGGACGGCGGGGAGGAGCGAAGGCGGCGGCGGCACGGGACGGTTAGGGGACGGCGATGGAGCTGTCGGCGACGCGATGGAGGAGGACGGCGATGGCGGCGGGGAGGATCGAAGGCGACGGTGGCACAGGACGGTTAGGGTACGGCGATGGAGCCGGTGGATGCGGGCATGCGGGAGCGATGGAGCGGTGGATGCAGGAGGGATAAGGTGAGGAGCTGGGTGGGGATCGGTGCACCGTTGGATTTAGCAATCTGACGGCTCACATTCCGCGTGTCTGTCAGAGCTGGAGTCACCGCCACCACTATAGAATTTTAAATTAGTAGAGATTATTTGAAAAATCGTATTAATATTTTTAAAATTTTTAAGATATAATACTTAATTAATGATGAACTAATTCACCATGTTGCTATATTTGCCGGGAGTGAAGATTTCTGAACCTATACCTTCAAAAGCACCCAAGCAGTGTTGTGTACCGGCGGTGTAGTCGGCTGTAAATACGACACAATAGCAAAATCGTTCTGTTAATGTGACAAGGGCTACTATTATTATTCATTAGTATTTATGAACGTCAAAATTCCATTTTTAACGATTAATCGGCCACTTTTTTTAATAATCCGGGTAATCATTTGCATATTGCACTTGACGATCTTTTAGAGTAACAAATTTATTTTTTTACGATCTTGTTTTGTTTAGTGTTGTTTAGTACTACCTCCATTTTTAATGGTAAATTTTGCTACAGGACATCGCGACTTCGTGGAATTAGCTCCAGGACACCTCACGAAGTGAGTTTTGGGGAAGACACATTCTCAAAACATGGCTATTTGTCATAGGACACCGCGCCCATTTGTTTGGTATATTCGTGCTGACTAGGCTTGAGCAGGCCCACATTTTTACGTGACCAGGCCAAATTGCCCTACCACATATTCTTTAGGCCCACACAGATTACTATAAAAAAAAGAATATTGGGTTGTACTCCAGCTCCACACAGTTAGTGGGAAGCAACCAAGTCAGCTCCATGGCTGCCGCCGCCCACCTGGATGGGCTTCCTCGGCCTCCTCAGCTTCCGCTGCAGCGCCACCGCCGTCGCCTCCTTTGGCCACGCGCAGGACGACGAGCTGCATGTCCTCCACACCCTCCAAGCCCACGTCGCCAACCGCCTTGCCGCGGTTGTTAACAACCAAATTTGGTAACATCAGCGTCGGAGAGAAGATTAGATCGAATCAAAGTCGGAAGCGGAGATCGAGTTTGAAAACAGGGCAGGAATCGGCTGAAGTCCAGATCGGCTATGACAAGATCGGCTGGGTCTGAGTCAGGTTAGGTAAGCCGATGTGGCCGATTCCGACAATACGACTTGTACACGGCATCAGGTTCAAGTTAATGTACTTCAAGATGATTGCCACGCATGGATAGAGTCCTGGGAAGGCAATTGTATATATTAATTAGGATATTTTATGTAAATTCCTTATAGATAAATGTGGGCAAAAGTCTGCCGCAAAGACTTATGATATCTTAGAGTTTGTTAGAGATAATGGTCATGTCTGGTATGGGCATATCTTATAATCCTCGAGTATAAGTAGACCCCGAGCCCTATGTAATTTTTAACGACAGACGTTCAACACAATTTCGGCGCATCGCCACCCTTTTTACTTCAGTTTTGTTTAGACGAGTTCTTGTTTTCGGGTTGAGCTGCATCGATTTCGATCTTCAACAAGAGGTAAAATTCATTATGATGGATTGCGTTCTTAGGATTAGTGCTTCCATCTTTATGATACTCTAATCCCGTTTATCCCGTTTATGTAATTCATCGAGTTATCATATGTCTTACATAATCTCTAGCAATATCATCATCTAACCTGCCATCGGTTAGTATCTGTTAATAGAGGGTAGCCGATTAGGTTAAATATTAATATTGATCTAGATTATATGAGACATCTACCATTCTATGAAACTTCTAGCGACTTGATTATCTAGATATCGTTCTTCTTTTCATACTTAATGCTGCATCAGTTGAGTTTGATCTATTAAGTCGTGCTTAGAATATTGATCTTTAGCCTGCCCTCTAGTTGCCGATTAGAATAGCATCGGAGTTTCAGCCGATCGTATCTGATTTAACTTCATTTGTTATATATGCCTTATTGATATGTTAAATCTGCCCTTTATGTTAAGATATTGTTGTATCTAAGTATGTTAGGCTTTTGCTCAATATATTATTCTTGCTTTAATATCTTGATATAGAGTAGTATCGGAGTATTAGCCGATACATGCTAGATCTATCTGATCGGCTATGTTATAAACATATATAGTCTTGTTATTGACATATATTTCGATCTAAGTGATTTATACTGTCTCGGCATGATGACCGATCTATCCCAATCACTTGATTTAAGTATACATCGATATGAGGAGTATATATTGTTAATATCTACAGCCAATCGAGTAGATTTAGTCCTTCTTTACTTATTCATGACTGCCGATCGATGCACAGATGACATCGGCTCAAAGATAAATGATATGTCATCGGCATCTAGCCGATCGGCTATCATTTATGGATTTAACCACGGTTTCTTTGCTTCTATTTCTTGTTGATTACAGGATCAAATCAACTGGCACGCTAATACATCCGAAGGCGAGCTTTGGACCTACACTGGAGTTAAGTAGATCTCCCAGGCCACGTGTTTTCTGTCAACAGCGGTCTCCCATCAGCCACCGCTCCTCTCCCTCGCCTTCCTCTCCAAGCTGCTCGACGTGGTGCTCTCCTCATCCGACGCCTTCCGCGACATCCTCGGCATCGGCCCCGTCGCCGCGCGCTCTGCAGGCCGCCTGCCTCACTGGTGACCTCCTCGACCACACCGTTAAGACACTCGACATACTTAAAGCCGTCTCCCTAATGCTCGCTTCGCTCCGGGGCTCGCACCGCACCGTGCTCACCGCCATGTCGTGCCTCCTCGCCCCGTCGCTACACCACGCCCACTTTGGCCGCGCATGCCAGGCCATCTCCAGGCAATTCCCCGATGCCGCCAAGCTCGCTGCCGCGCCAGGCTGTCCTTCAGCGTCTCTAGGAACAGGTCCTCCGGCCGCCACGTCCACGCCATGGCGGCGCACTTCGCACCGCCGCCACAGTAGTCGCCCACGTTTGCCTCCCCCGGCGCAGGTTGCGGGCTGGGGCTGGCGCTCTACACCATGAGCTCGGTGCTCGTCCGCTGAAGCATCTAGGCCTCCGGTGTTAATTTTGGTAATTGTTGGCGATATGGCATGAGGCCCTTCGACCAAACATGCTGAAAGCATGCACCCGATGAGGATTCAAGCCCGAGACATCAAGGTTAGTCAAGGCGAACCCTCCCCATGTCGAAGACTATGGAGCAAGGACGACGAGAGGCAGGGAATCGCAGCCGAGCTGGAGGCCTCCTGGCCGAAGGGCGCAAGGCGAAGAGCGTACGCCGAAGGGGGACGACTTCGCCGTAGCAGGTTCGGCCCCGGGAAGGCCGAAGAAGCTATCCTGGCCCATCAAGCCCAGGGGTTAATTGGGTCGACTATAACCAGTCGGCCCGCTAAGGGCCCATGAACCTCAATTACGCTATGTACCCATGTAAATATCCCTTTCATAAGGGCAACCATGTAAATTCCCCTGCATAACCAAAGCCCTAGTAGTAAGACCTGTAATGGGGGCTATAAATAGCCCCATAGGGCCATGTAATAGGGGGATCCAAGAAAAATTCTCTAATCAATACACTTTACTTTTTTTCTCAACCACTGTTGAGTAACCACGTCTTTCGACGTATGCAGTTGTCGTTTCGACAACAGCTGGTGCCGACCGTGGGGACCTCCGAGCGAAACCACTGAGAGTGAATGCCACCGAAGAAGGTCGTAAAGGAAAAGGTTACAAGGCGAAAGGAAAGCGACGCCGGGGCGGATATGGCCACCGAAGAGGGAGCAGAGCCTTCGGCGCCTGTCGCTGAAGATGGAGGAGCGCCATCTGCTTCCGCACCTGCGCCATCACTACCGCCTTCAGCCCTTGCTACCTCTGTGCAGGTGCCGAACGCAGCTGACATGGCGAAGGCAGCTGCGGCGGCGAGGGCACTCCAGACCAGGGCGGAGATCCTTTCGACAAGCCAACTGCTGGTGCCCCAAGCCACTCCGTCACAGCCAGCAGCGGCCCCAACTACGCTCGCTGCTGTGCAAGTCCAAGTCAACCCTGACCCCGAGACACAAACCGAAGCCGACATGGAAGGCATACGACAGAACATGACACGACTCCAAGACATGCTTCGCCAAATGCAAGGACAGCAACAAGCGTACGAGGCGGCAAGGCGGTCCAAGGTCGCCTCGGCACCAATCCTCTAGTATTCGGCAGGCTATGTCCCACCCCAAGTCTATCCACAAGTGCCGACCCAGCCCCTTCCACCACAAGTCGCGCGAGCGCCAATGTACTTCGCCGGGCAGCCATCGACCGCAGCAGCGCATCCGGCCCCTCACGTGCAACTGCAAGCTCAACCGGTCGCTGCCCAAGTACATCCTCAACCGCCTAGCCAAGTGCCACAAACAATGGCAGAAGGGGCTTCAGCTCTGCAGGCGCAGCTCCAAGCTTTCCTTCAGCAGCTCAGCCAACCCCACAACATTTCAAGTACAGCCCCTTCGGCCCTCCCGGAGGGGAATACAAGTCAAGATGCGCCTAGTTGGTTGCCTTCAAATCAACCAGGTCTGGGGGCTTCGCCGTGGAGTCAAGGACCGCAATTCGACTCCATCAATGCTGCTCAGGCGCCAACCGTTCGGCCGCAAGCACCAACGCTAGGCTTCAGAGCAAACCAAGCACCAAACCAGATCACCATGACATGGTCACAGCCAACTTTCGACCCATTCATGGCGGCTCAGCAAGCATCACCAATCGGGGCTGTGTAGCCGAGTGCCATGGCCCAATCTCACGCGCAAGCCGTGATTTCACCCTTCGCCACGCCGTACCCGCAGCAAGGTGCTGTGAACAGGGCAGGGGGCGAAAAGGGGCAACCGCTGAGTGGGGGAATCAAGACCCGCACAATCCCACCC